GACAGTTTTTAGCCTTTTAAATTGCAATGAAAAATAGAAAGGTAACTAGTGTACGCGACGTCTATTTGGTCGGAGAAAGGTGATGTATGAAATTTGATAATGTAATGGGTGTATAGTTTATTGTTGTATAGTTTTTTTGGGAAACACGTTATAAAAATAGTATATTTTAGTATGAAAGAGACATAAATGATGCAACGAATAAAAAATCAGCCTTATGAGCCAAAATCAAGTACCAGTTACCTTGTGAAACAATATTGTTTATGGTAATATGATGAGGTGCAGTAAGTTTTATAGAAACTGAATTCCAGAAAATCGAATAAAAAATCGCCTATCCCGCCGGTTTTCGGGAAATGACATCTCACAATCGTTGCTAGCTTTTACTCGCCCCGTTGGCCGATTAATTTACTTTATAAAACTTTCATCTTGTCATCATTGTGCTTTCTGGTTTTTTGCCAAGCCATGATAAAATCTAAAGAAATCAAGAATGAACAACACGATTTGGGATATGAACCACCGTTCTTGTATCCCTAGAAAATGGTGGTAAACACGAACTCACCTGCCAAACTGGTTTGGATTGAGATTTTTATCGGGTATCAGGGAACCATGTGATTATAAATTAGACTTGATCAAAACGGGCCAAAACTTGAAATTCAGCCTGTTTGACCGACCCATGCCAAACTCTAGTTATTCTTTACTTTTAAACTTTCTATTTGAAAATAAAAAATAATGAAAGAAAAGAGATGACTGCAATTCGCCATTTTCCACATCACTGATCCGGGAATAAAACTATAGAATTTCGAAAGGAAACTGAAAATATTTAGGCTCGTTTTAATGTTAAAAATAACCAAGTAGATCTTTCTGTTTAGTTTTTTACTAACAAATACCAAACGATTCCCTATAATATACACTATAATTTAATCATTATGATATTAAATAATTACATAATATATATTTGAAATGATAAAAATTGGACTAATTGGGTTGGTCGAGGTTGAACCATTGAATAACTTTAAAATACATTATATTTTAGCCACTAAGATATAAAATAATAGCATAATATATATTATGCTAGAGAAAATAGCTTGTTTTAGAATGGCAAACCCATGATGTTCATTTGTTTTACTTGATGGGCAAATCCCGTGTAGGTCAGACTCATTCAACTCTTTTATTTTATGATTAGAGGTTAGACCATTAGAATCCATGCATTAGTTTATTGTTAAATTTTTTTCTTTTTAGCAATAAAAAGGAGTATTGTTTTTTCCTTTTTCATATATATTTTACCACCACGGAGAAATAAAAGGACTTAAAGAAAAATATTGACACTTCTGGACCCGTTTAAATCCGCATGTAGGGGTGGGCAACGGGAAACGGGTATTTGGGTATACCCGTACCCGTCCCGTTTTTTAAGGGTTACGGGTACCCATATTACCCGTAATATTTTAAACGGATGGGACTTGGGATTGTACAGTCCTAATATGGGTACCCGCGGGTTACCCGCGAATACCCGTTTGGGTAATATGGGTACCCGTTGTACCCATTCAAATTACAAAGACGGATTTATACCCATTCAAATTACAAAGACGGATTTAATTCAGCCCATGCGCCCAGGCCCAGCCCAATTCAAAACCCAATTTCGGCCCTTACCCACTGAGACCGTGAGACGCACATATGCTTTTGTGTTCAGAGTTCTTATACTCCTTGAGCTTTGAGAAGAAAAATCGAAAGTTTTGTGGAAGGTGTAAGCATTGCCTAAAGAAAAAGGGGGCTAGGGTTCAAATTAAAGACGTTGGTATACTGCTTGTGTAATCAGACACATAACTGCTAGCTTAGCATCATTGATTGAGTTAAGGAAAACATACTGATGAGAAATATATGCTCGTTTTGGCAGGTGAGTATCCCAGGATCTTAGGCTTAAGAATAAAATCCTCCAAACCAGGGCTCTGTTGAGGGTACTTCATATGCTGGGGACAAGTAGTCAGTGAGGAAAGTGTGGGAGCACCCTAAGGCCACGAAGTAATAAAACCCTTTGGCGATACAGTGGGAAAATGGTAGTGGGTTTGCCTTTGGGATGTAATTGTCTTTAGCTAAAACGTTTAGGGACATGTTTTGAAATGAATGTTTGTGTATATAGAGATTGAATTTATGTTTTGATCATATCCGTGTTATTATTATTCCCCGCAAGAGCATGTTATTATTAAGATATGTAATGTGATGTCATTTAAACTTTGGGTATTTATGGGTAGTATGGGTACCCGTTATCCGTCCCGTACGGGTAATGGGTACCCGTTTCCCATATGAGTTTGGGATATGGGATGGACTTTGATCTCCAAATGGGACTGGGTACCCGTTTAAAATGGGACGGGTATCCCGTCCCGTCCCGTTGCCCACCCCTATCCGCATGTGTACGGTAAGTTGGCCCGTTCCACAGAGGAAAAAGAAAAAAATTGACACTCGCTATTATACCCTTCCTACAAACACTCCTGGAGCAGGGAATTTGAAATGGGGGAAGAGTTTTTTTCCTCTCTGCGATTATACGTTTTTAATTTAAAAAGATACAACAAATGTACTTAGTGTGATTGGTTATGATCTTTGTTTTACTTTAAAGTGGTCATGGTTCGAATCCTAGTAAGTGTCTTTTTAATGAATAAAAAATAATAATTGTGAAGACCAAAATGTCCTTCCTACATTCACTCTAGATGCAGGAAATTTGAAATGGGGCTTCAAGTTTTCTCATTTGACTTTTATTTATTACTAGCTTATACCCGTCCGTTGGTCGGAATATTTTGAGATATCTATTTCGATGATATATCTTGATTAGGGGTGTCCATTCGGGTTCGGTTTTTTGGGTTTACCCGAAACCGACCCGATTATATATATTTTTGGTTTTTCGGGTTCGGGTTCGTTTCGGGTTTCGGGTTTTTCGGTTTCGGGTTCGGTTTTGCTTATCTTTTTCGGGTTCCGGCTAAAAACCTCCAATGAATAGAACTCAACCCGTATTCTTAGGCGTTCGGGTTTTCGGGTTTCGGTTTTGCTTTAACCGAACCCGAACCCGAACCCGATAAGGAATTTTCGGGTTTCGGGTAACAGGAACCCGCAAGTCCTTATCGGTTCCGGGTTCGGTTTTAGTGATTTTCGGTTTCGGGTTTCGGTTCGGGTAACCGAACCCCGACCCGAACTGATACCCCTAATCTTGATAAATAGTTAAATACATTTTGTTTGGAACTAATAGTTGACTTTTTATAATCGAGATTGATATTATTAAAACATGATAAATAAAACTAAATTCTTAGTATTAAAGCAATCATATGAATTAATATATTGAGAGTTTAATTTGTATACCTTGAACCTTATTGATGAATGGTGTTCTCACTTATCATAATCAATTCCTTAATGAAAAGTTTTATACTTGATTGGGATTTTTTTTTTCTCAATTAATAGGTTTGTACATGATTCCCTTTGGAGTTTGGACAGATAACATGAAGAGTGAATACTTTGAAGTCAGGACATATAGACTGGAAATAAGAACAATGTAAACACCATATAGCAAGGAAGACAGAAGCTCTGGAGAGCTGTCAAATACTATTTTTGAAGAATAGCTTAGATAGAAGGAAAAAGGTTTGCTCTGCTAAATTCACAAATCCTCTCAAATTATACCAAGGTGAGAAAAACAATTCCAATGAATGAAAGCATGGAAGAAAACTAACTGAACTCGAATGAATTTATTTGACTAAATATGGTTGCATTCACAATTACGCTAATCATTATTAACCACCATCACATGTAGGTGGAGTGTAATTAGTCTCCAAACTATGCAGCATTTTGTGTACTCTCACAATCCACGTCGAATTTTTTACCGCATTAATTATATAAACCCTTTACCCAACACATAAATTCCACTTTGAAACTCATATATCCCCTGAACGGTTTGACACCTCATTCACAAATTATCCAAATTAACTACAATTAGACACATGCATGTCTCCATCCCCCTTTTAGTTCCCTCGCTACTTGCATATATAGCACCAACAACACTACATCTACATGGACCATACTTTGAGCTTTTTAGCGAGCATTCCACTGACTACACTTTCACCCACCTAAGTTGCTTACCCTTACAGTTCTCATAGCGGCAGCAGAAACATTAGGTATCACTGCAAGCACGCGGCACAATTCAATAGACAACACATGAATCTGAGTAACATAAGATTAAGAGTTTGCCAGTTTGGTGAACCATGTTTATTAGCATAAACATACATTCAACCATTCTAAGTATTATGTATCATCACAAACGAACAAAAAAGGCATTGTATTATGTTCCAGATTAAGGAGTCTAACAGTCTAACAGTCTAGGGATTTCAATTATAAAACTATAGGTCAGATAGAATCATCAACCTCAAGGGAAAAGTCATTGTTGTATTAAGCCCCAAATCTTCTGAAACATACCAAAATGAGAGAAACAAATCACAAACTATGAAGCCCTGAAAATCTATCTGACATCCAATTACTTTATGGGGTTAAATTTGGTTTTTTTCATAAATATGTTATATTATTCATGGAATTGATTGATTCCTGTTGGTTGGTGTAATTAAGGAAACATAATCATCTCACAACAACCATCCCTTTTACTGGTTCTTCCTTCGGCTCTCCACTCTTTCACCTGTAAAGTAAAATTAGTGTTCACCTAGAATCATGGAGTTTTAATGTTTTTCATAAACACCCCATTTGAATTTTTTTTGGCATGCTGCGTTCTCGCAAAAAAAAAAAACCTGAAATAGCCATATAAAGCTTGAAGTAGCAGCACAAAACCAAAATGAAAAATATAGTGACCAAAGTGATTATTAACATCAAACAAAAAACGAACAAAAGGAAGACATTACCAGAAACTCATTTTAATCTATCATACCGCAACACCATAGCAAACTGGCACCTAAGACATTAGCAAATAAATTATGTAATCCACCGGATGAGAATGAAAACGCAAACCATAAACCCAAACGCAATTGATGAGACTCAAATTACAGTAAACAACCAAAAAGAATGGAACAATTGTAGCAGGATAAAAAGGCAGAGTGGAATGACCTCATCAAATAGAGGTCAAGGTCTCCGCATCAAATTGGTGAAGGCAGCTCTCAGCGAACAGAAGCCACCGGTAGCTGCTCTTTCGCCAGTTTCAAGAGATTGAGTGTTCAAGAATAACGAAAATACATAAGCAAACTCAGTCTACTATTTCTACTCTATACTCATTATTCACACAGAGTTCGAAAACAATATATAGTGGAAGATGTACTTATTTAGCCTAATCTGTCTTCCAAACTGTTTTATTGTCTTTTTTACTGCTGAAGGTTCTTCAGCGGTTCACCTGCACCATGAAAATGATACGGGTGCACTTATCGGCAGCCTGCAACCCCATAGAAAACCAGCATTATCCCTTGAACCTTTTGTCCTATCGATCCCTCTCCTTCCAACCTCCAAGGAACAACTTTGAGTCTTTGAGCTGCGTCATGAAAAGGATACTGTTGCTTGTACGTACGCTTTGACCTGTAAACTCACAATGGTAATCATAGACCAACTAACCAAGAGAGAAGCTTAGAGAGTGAGTCCATTATTTGGACAAACCTCATTTTAAAATGTGTATCTTTAATCCAACAACTCTAATCAATTAGTTCTCTTTTCTTTACCTGTGATTCTCGTCCATGACCAAAGAGCTCAAAGAAGGCAGCTCAAGCCTCAAAGGATACAAAACTACTAATGCTGCTCCAAAGAGAATAATAAAATGTATTGCGTGTTCATTTCTGTTACCACTCTTTGAAGAATAGGCTATAAGGATGAGCAAAAGCAGAATAAGTAAAGGCTCTAAATGGGTTATTTGTTCTCCAACTTTAATTGTCAGATAGAACTAAAATCTGATATAGATCTTGAAATTGTCATTGAAAAGACAAACAAAAAGAATCACCATTTCATCAGCTATGATCTTCGATTTCCTCCTTTCATCAAGATGCAACACAACAAGACTCTGTTAGCATATTTAAAAAAAAAACATGATGAATAAATACGACATAAACGATTTTAGTTAGGTACTCATCTTCCCAATGATCAGGAAACCATAAGCCAAATTCCCATCTTGAGGCTGCTTTGAAACAGTCATAGTTATGAGTTCTGACAGCTATCTCACCGTGGGAGGCCTCATCTACAACAAAACTTACCAGAAATTAGTTGCCAACAATCACGATAAGCCCTGGTGATTTTCATGGAATCTAACACTCCTTCATCACAACACGAATCTCCATTGCTGGTCCAATGGGTTCATCACCCACCACTACTAACAGCTTCCTAAAAAGAGGCTAAATAATGTCATATGTGGAGGAAAATAGAGAGAACCCAAAGAACAAAAAAAAAAAAAAAAACGAGATGACATACTTAAGGAATTCCTCGGGCCTAATTCGGATCCACAACTTCATATTCTCTATTTCCTTGGAAAGATCCATCTTCTTCATCCACAATCAGCAAGCCTTACAGCCACAAAGAGAGTCCTTCCCCAGGAGAATACTTGGTATGCATCACCTGATCGCTACTGTCAGATCCCCATGGAATCCAATGAATCAGAATGAAAACTTAAATCAAAACCTAAGTAAACAGAGAGATAAACACATGTGTTTCTAACTTTCTATAGTTCAAAACTTTTCTCACCATCGAAGAGAGGAATTTGACAATCCGCCTATCACCATGGGACGAACACCTTTATGGTGTCCCTTCTCTCCTCTTCTTCCTTGTTACTTCCAACGCCACATTGCCCACTTCTTCTTCCCCTAAACCGCAGCGCCGCCATTCTCAATCTTCCGCTTACCCCGATTCCACCGCCGCTGGACAAAAGTAACTTCAACTTCGTCCTTGTCTCCCTCCTCGACTCCCACTACACCGAGCTCGGTGACCTTGTCGAGAAAGCACTCCCCACGCTCTAGAGTAATCCGTCGGCAACCACACATAACCACCCCACACAATGGAGCCCTCGAGCGTCGCCTCGACTCCGAGTTCAAGCGCTTCCTCCTAAAGCCTCGCAACCTCCACTCCCTCCGCAGAACAACCTTCGTTGGTAGTGACAGAAGATGATTTCAGCCGCAAAAAAAGTAGTGGGAACCGACGGTTTTTTATCTGTCCTGTCAGGCGGGGATTTCTAATTTAATCCCGTGTAACCACCCTGCCACGTCAGACTCCTAAAATCACTCTATGCGCAGGAAAATTTGAATGGGGGTTGCAGTTTTACTTTTCAGCTATAAATTATACTGTTGATGTAGATTGTATCTACCCAATCATTATTTACTTTTTATTTATAAGGAAAAAAAACATCAATCTCACAATTTGAAACAATGATCTTTGTAAACAACGATTCTCTTCTTTTTAACAACCATTACCAATTATACTAAAAAAAATATTTTGTATCTTTTTAAATACAAAATCTGAAAACCTAAACTATAAAAATTATATGAATTTTCACTATTGTTATCTAGCCAACTAAATCTCTCGTAAGTACTTTATTTGTTATTTGATATTTGAATTTTTATATTTTGATTATTCTAATTTGAGTTTAATAATAAATTTAATTTATATCTATCTTATAAATGGAGGATAATTTTAATAAATTTTCACTGAATATAGTATAGATGAAAAACATTATTTTCTTACTAATTTTGGTATTGTATTCGGCAAAATACTTTAGGTTTAGATATTGCTATATATGTATTGTTTCTCAAGCAAAAGAATTAAATATTGACTTAAAGTTTATGATCATGATTCATGAGTTTCCTATTTATGTTGCGCTTTTTTCAGAAAAATTCATTTTTTGTTATGCCAATTTTCTTTTCAACTATAGGCAACTAAGTGACTACATCATTAAATAGACAAGTTATGAATGGTTATTCACGAGTGTTACAACCAAGGTTGTTACACCTTTACCGGGAAGCTGCTTGGACTAGGTCCGACCAAAATCGGGCTCCAAAACGGGCTCTACAAAATCAAGGGTCTGATCGTTAGAGAGGGAAAAGAAGAGAGAGGGAAGGGGAGGGGGGAGTGTACGTGGGCACCGGGTCGTGCCGCCCACGGGCTAGCAAGGCACGGCCGCGAAATAAATGGGCCAGCCCGGCACGAGCACGAATAATTTATGGGTCGTGCTGGCCTAAACTTCATGAGCACGGGCACGACACGGTATATAAGTGGGTCGTGTCGGGCCTAATATTTTCGACACTTTATTGAGTATAAGAACGAGCATGACACGAAAATAATATTTATTTGATAGAAAAGAAATATAAAAAGAATTATAGTTTCAAATATTACAAAACACAAGTAGAAAAATAATTATCTGTTGTTGTTAGAAGTGTCATAAAAATATATACGTAATTACTAACATAAGTAAAAATAGATAAAGAATTAAATAAAACCAAATCAAACTCGCTATATTTCCAATTTTCTTTTCCCCCTGATTTGTTACTTTTCTCAAACCTTATCGATTAATACTATCTTCCTCCGTCCAATTTTCACCTTATTTTTCATTCTCGCTTTATTTTTCGTCCTTTTCATTAAACACGAATACGAGCATGACACGAGCAAGAATAGGCACGACACGATTCGAACCGTGCCCGGGCCTGGGGCAGGCCTAGTAAAGTTAACAAATGGGCTTGCATGGCACGACACAAAAACTGACGGGCCGTGCCAAGCACGGCATGAAATGAATGGGCCCGAAACGTGCATGTGTCGTGCCGGCCCAAGCACGACCCAACGCTCATGTACAAGAGAGAGGCAAGGGGATGGTGGGTGGATTTTGAGATATGTATTATTTTATGAAATTTGAGTTTTTAATAGATATAAGTTACTACATTTCAGTCACTAAATATCTATATTATATGTAAATATATTTAGTAATTGTGTAAAACGGCTCAAACATGTTGGACTTTAATCAAACTATTAAACTTCAAATAACTTGCTTGACCGGCTCAACGACTTAAACCGGTTTGACAACTTTGGTTATAACCATTACGATTACAATATTCATCAGTGATGGAAAGTTATAAAAGTTTCGAAAATGAAAAAATAATTTCGATGTCACGTTAATGTCATACGAAATTCAATATTTTAAATAATTTAAAGAATTTAAATACACATCATAAATAAATTGTATTCAAATGACATTACGACCAACGGATCGGACAACAAGCCAGTAAAGATCAAGGAGAAGAAAACAAATACGAACGGCGCCAAGCCAAAGAGGTCCCATGTGTTCTCCCCGCTGCCGGACTTCGTTTTGAAGCGGGCCTGGGCCTTGGCCTGATAAGTTGGGGCTAACAAATTCGAACGGGCTGGGCCGAACGGCGATTTTGGATTTGCAGTCGAAAACGTCATCTCGGGTTACAACTTTGCTGAATGGAAATTGGAAACCGGTTCCCAGCTGAATGGGTTTCCTTTTCTAAGTCGAAGATCAGTACGACACGGACACGCCAGAGCTCGTGAGAGAGAGAGAGAGAGAGCCATCGCATTCCTTCTGCCCAACTCAACTCCGCCATTTTTGGAGCTCCGAGATTTTCCAGATTTGAACTTTTCGGGTGAGAGATTTCAGGAGCGGGAAATATTTGAGATTCGTTTGCTTTCCGCAACTCCGATTGCGATTCAATTTTATTGTCCAACCGCGAGGAATCATGAACTGCGAAGTCTGCCAACTCAAAGAGCTGGTAACTTCTGGATTTCTTCGACCGTCGATCACTTGAGCTTTTCGTACTGAATTTTAGAGATTTCTACGTTTCCAGTTTGTTGATTTTCGATTTTACGGAACTTGCGTTGTTCAACCTGCAGGAAGTGGAGCACTTCGAGATACGGGAAGTTCTCCGCTGTAAGTTCTTCCCACTTGGTGGACTCATGAGAGTAGAATTCTAGCACCTGAGATTTGTGTGCTCTCAGTTTGTGCGATTTAATTGACAATTCAGTTTAAAGTTGGTCAATTTGTGCGCATGTGATCTTGGGCTTTGCAGGCATATTGCATACGATTGTGTTCCACCGAGCTTTAGGGCTCGTCCGTCCCAAAGTCATTGATTTAGAGCTCTTTGACATTACATATGTAAGTAATGAGTGTCCTCCAAAAGCTGGCTTACATTCTTTGTACCTGAAGCTCATCATGCCTTTGATGACTTCTGGCATCATCTATTTGTATGCTGGCGATGACATTGCCCTTCTTGTTTCGCAGGTGCAATGTGGGGATGGTGAACTTGAAAAGAAAATTGACGAGAAGATTGAGCAGTTCATTAGCTGGGTAGAGAAACACCCAAATAAGAAGAGCCAGGTAGCTGCCTATTCCCCCTGTTGTTCCTTTGCCTGTTTATGATTCTATGCAATATGTTCTTTTCTGTATATGCTGCAAAGCAAAGGTGGATGTATAGGGTTTGCATATATGTCCATGTCAAATATGTTATTGTTGTTTACCGCGCCAAGTCATATATGTGTCAACTGCCTTCGGTTAAACAATACTGTATAGTACAACTATGCATACAGTTCTCCAGCTGACCATTTTATCTGTTTCTCTGAGTAGCACTTTATCATCATATTATGTTTACTGCTTTTATGACCCCCAGTATGATAGTACCAATGGTATCCCATTCTTTTGGCTGTTGACCCCTTTATTGAATGATCCAGGTCTGCATATCGTTTTATGAGGTGAAAAACAAGCATCCTTCATGGTTCACTAACAAAACTGAACGTCTTTATTGGGAACAATGGAATATAAATTTGAATGTGAGCCAGCAACAAAAAGTTCACTCTGGGAAGTCTCATCCTTCAAAGATAGTGGTGGATCCTGGAGGTAGTACCGTTGACTCGTAT